CTGGCCCCCCTCATGCTGCAGCCACCCGAGCGCTCTGCAGAGAGCCTCAGGCGGCTGCAGCTTTGCCCGGGCTGGTGCGTCCATAAGGGCACACCGCCCGGGCGCAGCATGAGGAGAGGGGCTGACAGGAGGGAAGCGCTCAGCGCTCCCTCCTGTCACTCCCTCACTGTAGCGTGGCCGAGCTCTGTATGGTCCGTGGGTACAGGGAGCATCTGTCTCCTGTACCTGGCCGGACTAACACTGAGTGTGCACTTTGTGGGATATTTATGGGATAATAATAGTAAACAGTGAGAATTGCCCACTAATTCAACTCTCAGATCCCAAAGATCGTTATCGTGTAATTGAAAAGTATTTCATATAAATAAAATCACAATTTGCTATAAAAAGAGATTTATTTATTATGACCAATAATTAATAATAATAATATGTAACATGCGTGACAATAATCAATGAATATCCAGTATAAAATGGTATGCAATACAAAGGAATGGGTATACACGTTTCAATGGCTAAACAGCATTTTCTGTCAAGACTTACACAATTTATGAGGTATCCTTACAGACACAGAAAGCAAAGCTTTTCAGAGCAAAGGGCCATAAAACCCTGGCTAACAGTTAGATCAACTGAATAACCCTTTCAATGCTGGCTAGATCTCCTAGGTAATTCAGATCTATTCTTATGTAATTTTAAATAAAATAACATTTAAACCAGTTCATTAGTCATTTCCTGGAACCATCCAATAAGAGAACCTACCATATTTTATAAGCAGATTTTTAATTCGCCTAAAAAGATATCTTATCTTATATTAGAGCAAATCAATACACCTGGATAAAAACAGCGGTATGCTAACACGTGATACTATCACATTAATATATAGTTATTCTTAATTCCACCTGCAGAATGGAATGTTTATAACTATATATTCTTTAGTTAACTAAGATTTCTTAATATGGAAATCTGACCGTGATTTATCCAGTCATATATCATGCTATTAGTAAATTTTAATTAATTTAATTAATGAATTAAATTAAACCAGTATAATTACCAGTTGAGTAGATATTTCATCAGGTGAATAGTCTCAGGAACTTATTTGGATGTCTCTCTGCATGGAGGTGTGTAGGAATTTCTGAGTGTCCTAGAGTGTCATTGCTCCCGACTGCTCCCTTCTTTGCTTTCTTTGCATACCCTTGCATTCCTCGCCTACCTTCTTCTCCTCTCTCTTCCCTTTGTCTTAACTTTTTAAAGGGAAAATTCACTAGTTGATAGACCAATAGGAACACTGGAGGTGTGTCCAATCTAGGGATCGCAATTTAGGTATTTAATCTATAGAGGGCAGTCTTGTCCCACTAAACATACCTATCCAGGAAAGAGTTAACTTTTCTTGGTGGCTATTTTGACGTCATTTTGCTTTATCTTTATGGTTGCCATAACTTAAGTTTTCCTTCACTTCAAAGGGTTTTCTCTTAGTTTTGTCCAGACTATGTGTCTGGCAAATTCTGCTATAATTTCTAATATGACAGTTATAACTAAGTTTTGACCCGTAACTTACAATGGGATCTTGTACATATAGAAAGTAAAATTGTATTATTTAATCTCCTCTGTCACAAATGTCTGTGTTTAGATATGCATCTATTCCATTAGCATTTAGACAGTCTATCCAACCCCCGTTCTCCTTATCACTTGGTTTGTATATACTATGCATTCCTTCAGCTCTGGGAAAGTGGTTAGTTTTACAGATAGAAATCTTGTGTCTTTTGTTAGCTTGAAAATAACAAAATGGAGTCTGCTCTGTTCAAAAGTGACTCAGCATATACACTTTTAATTTCTATCATAGCACAAGATGTCTGCCAATATAAATACCCTGACAACTTCCTTTTAGTCCGGATGGGTACAGGAAGCTCCCTGTACCCGCGGACCATCCAGGGCTCGGCCACGCTACAACAGAGGTAGGGAGTTTGGGGGGCGGAGAATTTGACAGGGGGGGAAGAAATTGACAGGGGAGGGGGGAGAAATTGAAGAAATTGACAGGGGGGAGAGAAATAAATTGACAGGGAGAGGGGGAGAAATAAATTGACAGGGAGATGGGGAGAAATAAATTGACAGGGGGGTGAGAGTGACAGGGGAGAGAGGGGAGAAGAGAGTGACAACGGGGGGAGAAGAGAGTGACAAGGGAGGGGGGAGAAGAGAGTGACAAGGGAGGGACAGGGGGGAGAAGAGAGTGACAAGGGAGGGGGGAGAGATTGACATTCATCACACACACACACACACACACAATGCACCTCTTACACACAAAGACAATGCACCCCTTGCACACAGAAAAACACACAATGCATTACACACACAGACACATACACACAAGCAATGCAACCCTTACGCACAATGCATCCCTTACACACACAGAAACAAACAATGTATTCCTTACACACACTCAATGCACCCCTTACACACACTCAATGCACCCCTTACAGACGCACACACTGCATCCCGTACATACACAGAAACACACCTTGCAGCCCTTACACATACAAACACAGATTCACACAATGCATTGCTTACACACATATCAGGACATCCCCTACACACTCCACCCCCTGTGAACAAACTCATTGGTGGAACATGAAGGTGGACCCTGGGACCCAAACCTTGAACTGTGTAAAGGGCCCCCCAAAAAATGGAGCTGCTTCCTGTTCTCCCAGAACATTGATTTTTGTGACCACAGTTACAAACAGCCTCCAGAGATCCTGTTCTACACCAGACCAGACCCAGTTCCAAAACTCAGCTTTGTAACTCAATTTATCTATCTCTCCCCCCTGGAAGTGGGAACAAAACTTGAATAGAAGACTGGCTGGGTGGCCAAATGTAAACTCTTGTTTCTTTTGTGTCTTTTTCTAGTTGATTGAAATAATTAATTAATATATATATATATATATATATATATATATATATATATATATATATATATATATATATATCTTCTTGGGTAAAAGGCTTGCCATGTTAATATTAGTCTATATTAACCAAAAATACCAATATGCAATCTGACTTACGATTTCTTACAGTATATTCTTAGCTACTGATACATAATAAAACAACAAAGGATGTTACATTATCATGGATGTTCAACAGCAGATGATAATTGCTGGACTCCTGAAGGGAGAGTTTCATTGTTGCATAGCTGTACAGGAAGAAGAGCCAAGAGAGAGAAAAAGACCTTGTGTCCCTTTGTTCAGTTACTATATAGATGTGCCCATACTGATGTCAGAGTATCCCCTGGAAAAGTCATTATTTGGTGAAATGCGCATTGGGACAGTTTAGTGTAGTGGTTGGCGGATAGATTAGGAATGACACTGCAGCTTATTATGACTCTATAAATAGGCCACCACTCTATGGTTTTATCACACCTTTATTTTCATTTACTTTTACTATTAGACAATTATGTGGATGTGGGGAGAACGGGTAGGGTTTAGATTTTTTTTAAGGGGTGCCCACGAAGGCATGTTAGGGAACTACTTGGAGCTACAGGTTATCCCTTCCTTTAATCACGATTTACCCTTCTCCCCTTGGTGTGCTCTATTTCTCAAGAGTTTCTCTCTTATAGATACATATTTATTCTCACTTTTGTTTTTTTGTTTCCACTAGTTGTTAGTATCTCCTTTTTGTTTATACCGGAGCAGTATACTGTTACTTTCTGCTCTGGCTTGCTTGGTCCTTTTTTATTTTATTTATTTGTATTTAATTTGATTCATTATTTGGTTTCTATTTTTCTACTCTTTTTTTCTCATTATTGGATGGTTTTGTTAGCCTAGCCTTTTAATTACGAGTTGTATACTCCAAAAATCTATTTATATAAAATTTATTACAGTTTATGTTTTATTAATTACTTATCTTTTGGTTGCTTCCTAGCCATGGGAAGTCAGGATTATGAGGTACTAATATTTATCTGTCTCCAATCCCTTCTCCCTCTCTGTTTCAATATTCCTATCCAATTAGGGGATAACCCCAACTTTATTTAAGCAACCTGACACACTCTCTCTGGCTACACTAATTCTGTATCATGACGTCAGAGTATAACTCTAGCCTTATAAGTCCAAGACCCCCAATCCACTTTCCAGAGTTCTCATACGAGAAAACCTTGTGACTTATTGATACCATCTATTACTGTCAATTCTAACATCCATAAATAATCAATAGAAACATAGAATATGCAAAATTTTACACCGACCCATATTTTCTATTGAAAAATAGTTTTTATTTTCAGTTGACAGATTAAAATATTTGATGTATAAATCAGATAAACGAATACCTCTCCTAGGTCTTTCTTGACTGGCCAGTTTGATTCAATATCCTCTAGTTACTACTTTGTACGCATTCCAAAGGCATTGGAAGGAAATTCCCTCTGAAGCATTTTCTTTGAAAAATAGATCTGACATTTTCTCAATATAATCCGTATTATCTTTTGAATCTAGTAAAGTATCGTTCAGCTTCCATGCTGGGGGTGAACGTCTTTAGCACTGTTTGCCTTCTTACCTGGAGTCTGTTACTAATAATTGAGTCAAAAAACTTTTAAGCAGTAACTTCTGTTAGTTCTACTTTGCCCAGTCAATGAGCAAAACCCAAAGCCAAAGAGCTTCTGGCTCTCTAGTAATGCATACGGGACAGTTAGCTAGAAAGAGGGGTGAGGACATAGGCGTGCGCACAATGTGGGACCGGAGTTGGAAAGAGGGGTTGAGGCAGGCGTGCACACAGAGTATGCCTAGTGTGATCAAACGCTGGACTGCTGCGCCAGTGCTGTGCCTCTGTTCCCGCAGAAGCAACTGGTCACGATCCCAAGCTGGCACCTGATACTAGCTATATTGGGCTGAGGAGCAGCTAACTTGAATCTCCCTTCCACTCAACACATTAATCAATATTCAAATTACATAACATTAAGAAGTAACTGGGGGAAGAATTTCCCAGTGCACACTCTAATGAAATGGGCTGCACATGCCTATGCGTGGAGACTGGCTGCGAGCCTGCCCAGTATATGGCCTGGAGGGCCTGTTTGGCTTCCAGCTCTCAGAACCATGTCTGCAATGCTCATTGTAAACTAAATCAGGACAGGACCCAGAAATCAGGACTCTCCTACCCAGACTGGGCCAGCTGGGGGGGGGGGAGGGGTTGTCAGCACTGATTATGGTGTTTGGAGCCTATAACAACGTTACATTTCAATTTACAATTCATCATGAATTCCCAACAATTGTCACTTTAGTGAACAACCTGAATTCCTCCACCCCCTTTCAGACGAGTTAAAATAAATAAATAAAAAAAGCATATACTTCCTTGCTAATAAAGTTGTTGCGAAAAAAAAAAAAAAAGACTGTCACAGCCTCGTGACACCGTGACGTCATCTCACATGACTTTTCCGTGTGAGGAGCTTCGCCCAGTGTTTAGTTGCTGCAGAGCTCCCGCGAGACTCCCTCCCTGCCGCCCGTCACAGCAGCTGCCGGAGACCCCGCTCTCGCTCTCGCTCTCTCTCTCCTGTCGGTTGGCCCTGTCCGCGCGCGCTGAGCACGGTTAGCCGGGGACCATGGTGAAGCTGGAAGCTGCCGGGAAGCGGAGACTCGGGGAGTGCGCCCGGGGTCTGACACTGCTCGCTCTCATCAGTAAGTATGGGTGTGCAGCTCGCTGGGTGTGAGCGGTAACGGCCCTGTCCGGGGAGCCGGGGGGGGGAGGCATTGACAGGCAGGGAGCGGGACATCACGTGACGGGGGTTTGATGGGAAGGTGACAGGCGGGGAGCGGGGCATCATGGGAGAGAAAGCTGGCTGGCACAGACCATGGACAGCAGCCCGGGGCTACCACCACCCCCCCGACCGGGCTACTACCCGGCCCAAAGGGGAAGGGCCCTCGGCTGACCTCTTTATTCTCCTAGAAATCTTTCAGGCTAAATTAATTAGTTTGTTTGTTAGATTTATTATTATTATTATTATTATTATTATACACCAGGTTACACTTATTATCCCTGCCTTCTTGTATGAACATATATAGAGATACATAGATACATACTGTATAAAGCGAGAGGATTTAGACCTTCATTCCAAATATTAAATAAATAAAACCTAAAAAGCCAGCCAGTACATGCACAGGAGGTTAGTAGACATTGGGGCAGTCCAATCCTTATGCGGAAGTCAGACTTTTTTTTTTTTGTTTGTTTTTAAAGTGGTAGCAGCCCTGTTATATGCTTATATTATCTATTGCTGGTATGGGTTTTTATTAAGGGTTTGTGGTTTTCAAAGTGCATGATGGGCGTTTTTATGGGACTGTTTGTGGGATTAGAATTGGATGGTAAAGGGATTCTATAGAGTAAGGCGGGGGTGCCCAAAAGGTGGGTTCCCAGATATTGTAAAACAACTCCCATGGTGCATGGGTCGCGAGCACATTAAGCCCTCCCCATAGGTAAGCATTGCTACAATGCTTTGCTATGGGGATTTTACTGACACTGGATGTTCTTATGGAGAGCATGAGGATGTCCAACATCAGGCAATCAAAAGTTGATTAGCCACCAGGAAGCACCTCTAGTTGCTTTCTGATTGACAGCCACTAGAGGCAGTCTTAGTCCTGCAATGTAAAGATTGCAGTTTCTCAACAACTGCATTGATTTACATTGCAGGACTGAGTAGGACCTGGTCGCTGCACCCAGACCAATTTAAAGAGATGAAGTGGTCTGGGTGTCTATAGTGTCAATTTAATTATAGTTTGCAGTGTACATGACATCCTAAAGTGGCAAAGGTCCACAATGGTCATTGGCTGTTAATTGTCATGAAATATTGCTCTTTAAATATACAAAGACTATTATAGTTTGTATGAGGTTGGCAATGTTTAAAATGATTCTGTCAACATATAGGTAAGCAAGCCTTCAACATAAAAGTATTATTAGGCAGACATCATCTTGAAAATGTCATGGTTTGGTTTTTTCTTTTCTTTTTTTTTTAAACTTATTTATTTTTTCTTGTCAACATGGTACTTAGTAAATAGACTTAGTTTACAGCACAGCTTGCATGTCATTGAAAGGAACACTAGAGCATTAAACTTTTGTTTTAACACTGGTGTTCCTTTCCCTCTTTAGACGAAGGTCTTTTTTTTTTTTTTTTTTTTCTCAATTTAAACTGAAACTAAACTTTATTTCCTAGCAAAGTCTGTTTTCTTGTAGCAACCCATCTGACTCCTGTAAAGATAATCAGGACTGATGATCTCTGTCCAATCTAATACATCTCATAGAGAAACATTGAAACCAATGTTTTTAAAATGCCAAGCATGTGTTGCGTTCAGCATAATCATGGTGTGTGTGTGTGTGTGATGACACTAAACATGAAGTCCTTAGAAAGTTGAAGGTCTTTTGTAAATGACTACTAAAGTCACTCAGGCCACTGAATCTCAGTGAAGTGGCCTGATTTCAGTGTCCCTGTCCTTTTAACCCTGCAACGTGAAACACTGCCGTTTATTTTATTTATTTATTTACTTTAGAAACTATAATTTTTACATTGCAGGTTTAAATCCACCACTAGTGGCTGTCTTCCTGACAGCCACTAGAGGGGTTTCCACGGCACTGACATAGTAAAATTCAGCCACGTGACCAAACAGCCCCCTTATCAAAGCATTTAAGTGCTTTCCTATGGGGAAGCACGCGTGTTCGCCGTTCATGCGTTTTAGGTCACCAGTGCTGCTCTGAGTAGTATTGGTGTGTATCATCATCATCATCATCACGGAAAGAGGGGAGCTAAGCTGTGCGAGTGAGCCAAAGCAATGGTAAACAATAAGTAAAAGTTATTACATTTTATTTGAAAGGGGATGGGCCTCTATAACTAGGGACAATGACACTAAACCATTAGGAATACCAGTTTGTATTCCTAACACTTTAATGTACTTATAGTGGCTGGCAGCCACTAGAGGCATTTTTACATGTATACATTTCTATTTGTCAATGTGTACAATATTTTTTGTTGGTGTACTACGTCCCCATTAAAAATCAATAGGGTACAACATAAAGCAAACCATCCAAATTGATATGAATGAATTTAGAACAGAAATTGTCTGTTTGCAGTGACTTGTGTAGAAGATATTATGGGAAACTTTGAATTTGACATTTCTTCAATCAAATGCCTTTCCAAAAAGAGGCACTCATTTTTCTTTTTCTTTTTTATTTATTTATTTATTTAAAGATAACTTTTCCCACAATACATGCCTCTCTATCCTGTCCTTCCTCCGAAGCCTTGCAAGATTTTCAAGCGTATACCTAGTTCAGTTTTCATTGCTTGCCGCTTACAGGGGGTGCGCGGCTCATGGAAGTCACCATAGTGCTTTCCCGTTGCATATGGTGCACATGAGAAAGCAGTGATGTTATGTCACTTGCAGCAATTAGAATATGGTGTCCCCAGGAATGGGCATCCAGCTCTGTGAACAATGCAAAGTTTAATATACAGGGTGGGGAATTGGGAACAAATAAATACTTATTGGTGAAGCATAAAAAAAAAATCTGTATATGACAGTTGTTTTAATACCTACTTCCAGCATAATAACATGTTTGTGGCGGAGAGTCTAAAACAGGGTTACCTCTCTAATAGCAGCAGTATTTTCATTTGTAATTATCTTAAGTAAATGTTGATTTTAATTCCCCAATATTACATTTTCTTAAAATATAAATTTATTTGCAAGTCTGTTTTTTTTTTTTTCTCAATTTATTTGTCTTGATAACATTATTGTTGCAGTTTGCTGAGCAGGCTGATTTTGCGACAATACCAGAGGTGTTTTGTTTATAACTTTGCTAGGGTGCAGCTATCTTACAATCATTTTGCATTACTCAAACTGTAATTGTAACATAATATTTGCTGTTGCAGATACACGTGATACCTTAAAACCTGTTTCTTGTCTTGGCAAAGGCTTTTATGACATGTGACTGTAGAAGGCTGAAACACAATACTGCCTTTGTATATTTCCTTTGCAAAGGAAAGAAGGCACTGAGAAAATACATTATATAACACATTTTGATCCTGTTTTATAAAACAATTCAACAATACTGGCCAAAGTGGTATATAAACCCACAATGGAGTAACCTTTACAATTTACATTTTTTAGTTTCATTGTCTTCTTTACCCACTAACACCAGGCAACATATTAATTATAAACTTTTACATTAAATATAAAACTACTGTTAATGGTTTTCTTCTTTGAATGTTAAAGGGAAACTAGTCATCAGAACAACTTTAGCTTAACCCCTTAAGGACACAGCTTCAAAAGCTTGTCTTGCACTTAAGGACACAAGAAATTTTCACATTTTTTTGCTGTTTGCGTTCAACTGCAATTTGCATTTTACTATTTTATTGCACCGACACATTATATACCGTTTTTTTTTTTTTTTTTTAAAGGACAAAAAGGGCTTTAAATTGATGTAACAGATACATATATAAATGCTTATTTATTATAAAAAAAAAAACACAAAAATGCCCCAAAATGTAAAAATATTGGGGGGTTTTTCTTCAGTTTTTGCAATAATAATGTGTGCATAATTTGTGCAGGTTAAGGAAAGTAATGAAAAATAAATTAATTTAGCTGTTCTGATTTACAGAATATATAATGTGTCTAGGATTTTCATTTTTTTTTTTTGGTAGTTACAGCTCCCAAAACACAAGGAGTAAAATAAACTTTTAATGTGGAGCGATTTTAGAATTTGGTATGTTTGTCTTGTAAGCTTAATAGGCATAAAAGATAACAAAATTGCCACACAAAAGTATATATTTATATGAAGCAGACATCACAGGCTATTTAACATTATTTTGTCACTTTTTACGTAGCCATTTCACCGCCAATCCCTGCTAAATATTGGACTAAAATGTAGGTGTTTTTTTTTTTTGTTTTTTTGACACACAAAATTATAACAAAGAACTTCTCATGTGTATTTCGTAAAGTTAGTGTGTGCTATTCCTGTACAAAACCTAACTTTGTGTTCAGCTACATCTGCTGAGTACAATGATACCCCCATTGTATGTCTTTGGCACTATTTCGTAAAGCTACAGCGCCATATAGGAGACCTGTCCATTTCGGTATTAACAGTAGAATTTTGAGACGGATTTGATGGGCCTATGTTTCAATTTGGGCCACTGGCACTTTCACAAAGTTTATACAACTTTATCCTATACTGGGATCTTTTGGCCGGGATATATTGTTTAAACCCCAGTCTGCCCTTGTATTTCATTATATACTCATCTACACAAATATTTTTTTGTGGGGTGTAAATTGAGCCAAACTGTCTGTTGAAGTGGGAAATAAGGGGGCGAATCTTATAGAGATTATTGTATTGAGGATTATCTCTTGGGGGGGCACTTCGAATTGTCGCTGAAGTGTAAAAAGCGAAGCATTGCTTCATATCTGGACCTGTTCATGGTCTGGGAGTAAATAGGGGTGCTGCATACAGGATTTTTGGACCAGTACATCCTGATGCTGGGTTTTTTAATAATGCCCATTAGCATTATTAGTGCCCCAATTTTTTTTTTTTTAATTCTGGCACACTGGTGGGGTACCAACTCCCTTGCCTAGCGATGAGACTCATTAAGTGTCAGGTAGTGCACAGCATAAAGGTTGGTCTGGGTGACTATATCCCCTAAAATATCATCCCCCAAGAATAGCTGCATGAAATCCAGTGCACTGTAGTTAGACGTCAAACTGAATTCCAGGACTGCCAGTAAACACTGGGATGTCAGGCGTGAAATCATCTCGGGGTTCCCAGTCACCAGTGTCATGAGCCAGGTCAGGGGACTCGGCGCTTACAACAGATGGCCCTGCAGTATCTGGCACAGTCTCATCACCACTCTCAGAGGCAGTGTCTGTGGCGTCAGTCGGCTGCTTGTATATCATAAGCCTCCTCAGCAGTGTACCTTCTAGACATTATGAAGGTGTAACTTTAACAAACTTTTTTTTTAAACTTTTTTATTTTATTTTTTTTACTTTTCAGAACTTTTCTAAACTTTTTGTCTCTAACTAGCCTAACACTCAATTTCCCAAATTCCCACTAAAGTCCACCCACTCCAGCTAACTAAGGAATTAACGTTAAATTAAATAAAATTAACCCCTAAGGGTTAAAAAAAATAAAAAAAATAAAAATGAACCCTTGAGGGTACAAAAAAAATTAGATCAGTTAAATACTGTGATCAGTATACTGATCACTGCAGGCAGTGATCAAAAGGGCAAGGAAAGGGTTAACACTGTTTTAAAAGTATTAACATTACTTTTATAACCGAGATACACTTTAAGCTAAAATGGCACACAATGTTGCAGCACCGATCCGTTTCTCTCCACTTCTCAAACCACACAGAGGTGGAGGGAGGAGGATCCGGAATCACAGCAGCACTGTGATCGCTGTGACTGGTTGTCACAGCAATCACATGTGCTGGGACAGCTCAATTGGCGGTTGCTGGTCTGCCTTTGACATCGAGGCACCCAGCAACAGCATTAACCTCACGTTTGCCGCGATCTGGCGTTAACATTGGTAAATGACTGGAGATTTTCCGTCAACGGTCCTTAACGCACGGACAAGCTTGACGGAAAATCTCCGTCTTCGGTTGCGATGGGGTTAAAGGGCCACCGTAGGCACCCAGACCACTTCAGCTCCACCACCCTTAACCCTGCAAGTGTAATTTTATAAACTGCAATAATTACTTTGCAGGATTAAGTTCTCTTCTACTGGCTGTCTCCAAGACAGCCATTAGAGGGACTTCCGGTTCTTAGACGACTTTTGGTCGTCTAAACGACGCTGGACGTCCTCACGCTCTGCATGAGGAACTCCAGCGTTGCAGGAATCCCCATAGGAAAGCCATTGCTGTGCATGCGCATTAGGTCTCCGGCAGAGGAGCGGGGGCGGAGCCTGACAGCGCCGAGGGACATGGGCGCTGGATTCAGGTAAGTGTCTGAATGGGTTTTAACCCCTTCAGTGACAGAGGGGGGCACGCCAGGATTCTCTAGTGCCAGGAAAATAGGCTTGGTTTCCTGGCACTGAAGAATCCCTTTAATAAAGCAGTTTTTGTGTATGGATCATGCCCCTGCTGTGTCACTGCCCAATTCTCTGCCATTAAAGATTTAAATCACCTTTGTTTCTGTACATGCAGCCCCAGCCACACCTTCCCTGGCTGTGACTGACACTGTCTGCATGAAAACAAAATGCTTTCACTTTCAACCAGATGTAACTTACTTTAAAATTTATCTCCCGCTCTGTAAATTGAACTTTAATCACACACTGGGGGTCCTAATGGAGCGTGAGGGCATCCAGCGTCCGATAATGGACCAAAACTTTGTTTGGATTCCAGGAGCCCTCTAGTGGCTGTCTGGTAGACAGCTACTGGGGGCAGTATTAGAGCTGCAATGTAAACATCCTCCATTTATGCATTGCACATTTAGAGGAAGAGATCTCAGAAAACTCATGAACTGGACACCGCACTTGAGTAGAGCAGCCTGCATCAGTTTTACCTGGCCAGCACAGTTCCCTCTGTACCTCAGAGAAGCAAAGCACACTGATAAATATACACAGAGCTGCAGCATGCAAATAATACAAACCGTTCACAAACGCAACTCTACTGGCAATCCACATACATGCACACAACCCTACAAGCAGCCTCTAACATGCAATACCAGAAGCAGCCCCACATGTACACCCCACCAAACACACAATGTGACACATCCACACAATTCCACAAGCAGTCCATAGTCACATGTATCATACAGATTACCCCAAGCTGCCTATGAACATCTACAATATAACCGCTCATATACAAACAAATACAATGTTACAAAGCGACTGCAGCACCCATAAATAACACAAGTAGAATATGGCAACCGACACAACTCAACCCAATTTAAACAAATAGGACAGGTACGCCAAGAGACTTCAAGATCTTGTTTTGTCACAGTACTACTAAAAGGTTGCATACCGCTGATCTAGTAACTACTTCATTAGACTGCCTGGATTCAAAAACAGCCCATCTTGTTCATGCTTTCTCTCCCCAGCATCAAAATAAAAACCCTGATATTGAAACATTTTTTTTTTTTTAAATGTCTTGTGACATGACTCCTGTTATTTTTGAAAATTAAAATGACTCCATTGTAAAGTGTGCATTTATGAAGACTAATAATTCTTTGTTCATTGCAGGTCTTTTTCAGACTGCATCCTCTATTCGATTTGAAGTAAAAAATGGAAGCAATACTTGCATAATTGCAGATCTATCTATTAATTTTACAGTTGAATACAACGCACTTAAACAGGTAATTTTCTCACTTACTCTTGGCAAAACTTTTATTTTTTTTTATTTTACTCTGTTTTTATATAGTATTTACTTTTAATTTGAAATTTTAAAGGGTGTGTGGTATATAAAATTCCTTTGACTAGAATTAAGTTACTTTCATTCATAGTTGAGGCTTTACATCTTTCTAAATTATTCTTCCAACTAACCAGACCAGTTATGCCTGCTGTACTTAAGCACTTATCTTTTCCTCAGGAGAAAATTACTTTTCCATTGCCAAGCGATGCAAAAGTAGGTGTACAAAGCACTTGTGGCAATGCAACCGTCTCACCAAGTTTAACCATCCAGTTTGGAGCGAATCACTTCCTGAGCATAAATTTTACAAAAGACTCTCAACGCTATGAAGTTGTTGAATTGATTTTTGTTTATAACTTATCAGACACTAGCCTGTTCCCAAATGCAACAGAAAATGGTAAGTTGCACAGTTTCTAATGTCTTTCAGATTCATAATAATTTGTATGTATGGTTTTCAGAGAAATTAAACCTTGCTTCTCCCCCCGTACCCCACACTTTTTTTTTTCTTTTCTAGGAACAAAGATGGCGACTTCAAATAGTACTTCAATTTTTGCCAAAACTGATACAGCGTATAAATGCTCTAATCCACACCTCATTGTGATGGAAGCCGTCAACGCTACATTTCATGATATTAAACTTGAAGCCTATTTGACGAAAAATAATTACAGTGAAAATGGTATGATATGATTAAATAGCTTTCAGTGGAACTGGTATTTCTTTAAAGGTTTTTAACGTTTGTCAGACCCAGTTTTCTCAACCTGTTGTATGTGTACCGTACAAGGTATATCTGAAATGGTTATGCAAGGGTGCTCAATCTTTGGTTATCGGGGGCCACTGTGAAAATGTGGTACACATCGTGGCGTACACTATAGGCAACTCTTATGTAAATACAATTTTAGGGATTATTTTTGTATTCACTAAACAGAGGCAGTGCTCAGATGATAGCTTGTCATTTTGTCTTTAGGTTGTTGTTGTGTTTTTTTTCTTTTTTTGTTTTAATTCTTTTGTTGTGCAAAAGATTAGCAATCATGCTTGTTATGCCACAACAGCTGACATAAACATTTCAAGATATTATGGTATGTAATTGAAACGGCACATTTTTGAAAAGTTACACAGGTTAAATCAAGGTGTGTCAGTAAATGAGTATGCATAAGGGTTAACGGAGACATGCTTTGTAGCCTGACACTGGGCGAGTAAACTCATTCTTAATCTAATTAGAAATTTTGTCTTTAGATTTATTTGGAATGCTTGTTTCTAGAACACATCCATTCACATAAGTATGTACATCTGAGGAGGGAGAAGATTCTTTCTGCATACAATAATTGAGAGGAAAATTAATTTAGAAGTAGGATGTAATGTTTGTGAATAGAAAAAAGAGCACAATAGAATGAAAGGGGTAATGCTACAGGTAATAAAGAATAGTGAATGAAAAAAGCACAGGAAATGGAGGAAGATTGAAAGAATTGCAAGGGAACAATGGTATCTGAAAATAATTGGTGGGTGAGGGAATTGCAAAATTAAGAGTTTTGTGGAGGGAAAGGGTGGGAGGAAGTATAAGAAGGCTGTAGTATTGGGAAAGGAGTGGAACAGCTATGGTGAAAGACGGTGGTAGGGACGAGCACAGTTGGAGTGAATTGAAGAAAACCTTTAAGGAGATGGTGCATGACCGGGCTTAAAGATATACTATAGGCATCAAAACGACTTTTCGCTTAATGAAGCAATTTGGGTGTATAGATCATGCCCTGCATTATCACTGCTCAATTCTCTGCCATTTAGTAATTAAATCACGTTTGTTTCTAATTATGCAGCAATAACCACACCTCAACTGGCTGTGAGTCGCACAACCAGCATTAATTTTTTAAATTTTTTTATTAAATATAAATTTTTAATCAGACCATGGCAGGCTTTCTAAGTTATAGTCTGATCTGTTAAATTGAACTTTTTTTTTTTTGTCAATCTTTCGTTTATTGAGGCATACAAAGTGGGTACAAAATAGAGAGGGAAATGCAATAATGGTTTACAGTGGAGGGTTTGTACATCATTAATTTGAAGAAACTACATTTCCTGAGTAACGAAGCCTCATTTTTTCTTTTTTTTTCTTTTTTTTTTTTTTTTGGCTTGTTGTGTAGCATAAACATATTATAACCAGAAGCAATGCCTGTCAGTAGGCTACATAACATCTTGGACACGCATTAGGTTATTAAATTGTCAGGCTGAACATTCAAGAATATTGCTAGATAACTATCTGTATACTCATCACTAGAAAGAACAATTTGTAAGGAGGTATCTATGCTAAACGTGCATACAGTGGTAGGTGTGCTCAAGGCTAGACATATATGGCTGTGTGAGTTTACTAAAAGCTTACATTTACACTTCACTGGGCATACGACAGGTGTATACATATGTATGAGGTGCCTATGTTTGCCCAGCTGTGTAGGTTGAGAGTATTCTGAGCCTCACTGTGGCAAGAGTAAGCTAAAAGGTTGTAACGATTAATCACGATTAAGTAGATAAGAGGATGCAACTGGGGTACTTTTGCCTCTGTCCTTGGGGAGAGAGTCTCTGCTTTGCAGGCAGGGTCGCGGGCTGCAATCCGGGTTGCATCAGCCGATGCCTGTTCTGGATGCTTTGATTGCGTTCCCTGGAAGGCGATTCAGGTGTTCCTGTGGGCCCAATCTGTGTTGACAGGTGGATTCAGTGGCACCTCTATGCTGTGATTCAGAGTCTCCAACGGGTGTCCGTGTGGACACGTTCACTGCGATCCGGTAGGCGGCTGCAACCGCAGAGGGCACCAGAGTGCCGCGCTTGGCTCTGAGTCTCGGGCTCAGCGAGGAACTTGCTTGTGGGGCCTGTGCAGCACTTAGGTTCCTGCGTGGGTGAGGTCGGGTGTTTGCGCCCGTATGCCCGGGTAATGTTTCCTGTTTTGCTGGTCGTTTACGGCAGCCCCACCGGGCAGTTGTTCTGGGGGCCCTCAGCATGGCGTCGTAATGGCGGCGTCTAGTGGCCGGGCGAAGCCACGCGGCCACTGCTCTCATAGCTTAAACGTGTGTGGCTCCGCTGTTGCGGAGTATTGCCCAAAAGCTTTTACAGAGCCGATCTAGTGCTGCCATGGGCTGGAGTGATGGCTGGGTGTCTGTGCCTTTCGTCTGGGGCCTGTGCTGGGCCGCCATCTTGGCTGTGTTGCACCCCTACAGTCTGCGCGGCCCATCCTCCAGTGTGCTTGGTGTGGCTGGGGAGGACCGGGATGACCCCCACCGGTCCGGGTGGAGGGGGGGTAGGTTGTTTGACGGGTCGTTCCGAGCTCGGGGGGAGCGGCCGTCTCGCTATGGCTCCTGTAGGCCACGGTGGGCGTCCAGTGCTCCCGGCCCCGACGGGCGTCGGGAGTTTGTCTGTCAAGTGACAGACAAACTCTGTGGGGACTGCACCCTGATATGTCTGTGGGCTTTTTAATTGCGGGTTCTTTGTTTGATTTTGCCCGTCGGGCAGGAGCTCATGCAGTCCGCGTCCTCTCCGTTTGGCGGTCAAGCCCCTTAAATTGAACTTTAATCACTACCCGGAAGGCTCCTTCAGGGTCTAAAACTATTAACAGAGCAGGAAACAAGTAATTCTAGATTAAACCGACTGTGCAATACAGGAACCTAAACTAGGTTATTTTTCAGGAAATGTTTATTAAGGCTGCATGCAGGGAAGTATGACCAGGGTTATGTAAAGAAAGTGAGACTTCATGGTCTATACACCAAAACTGCTGCATTAAGCTAAAGTTGTTTTGGTGACTATAATGTCCATTTTTAGTTTGTAAGAGACCTTGTGTAAAAGGTCAGGGGACTGGGACCTGGGGACTAAGCATTAAAAAAAAAAAAAAAAAAAAACAACCCTGGAAAATGCTGATTCTTGGCATATGGATAACCATAAAAGTGAAAGGTTGAGGGATCTCGTATTCAAACAGGTTGGTACCCACCCTCTTAGAGTGCATCAAGACACTCTCATTAGACACGCATTATACACACTTTTTGGGGTAGCTGCCCTGTCCATATGAGGATGTCATCTTGTAGGCTGAAACAAAGGTAAAAATGGCTATTAAGCACTTGCCATTGTATTTCTCTTTTGATTTAGATTTTTCAAAACAATATATTTGATTTTTATTTCTGGCAGTGTTGGTGTGTATTGATTTCCTCACTTAATGTTTAGACTGGTAGTATCCAAAATGTTATAATCTTTGTTCCTCCCTTTGGACATCCTCTTAATTAAAACTTCTTTCAGGGCTGGTGAGATGGTATAGGTTGCTCTTAGGACACCTCTGTCACGGTTCATTTAAAACTGGTGGTGAAGAGATGGGGAAAAAAAATAATAATAATAAAACAAATATATAATTTTTTTAATATTATTGCATTTTCTATATAGTACATTAAAAAATATTTTTTTTTTTACATAGACCTTATATTGTTACATTTTAGCACGTTTGCTATTATAACACATTACACCATTTAAAAAAAAAAAAAATTTTTCCTTCCCAGTAACTCCATGCCCTGAGGATATTTCACCAACGACTGCCAAAACACCGACGACTCGCCAACCGACTACTGCTGCACCAACACCTACACCAAGTGACATTCCTAAACAAGGAGATTACACTTTTAATGGGTCATCTGGTCCCTGCATACTTGCTAAAATGGGTTTGCAGCTTAACATCTCCTACAGTAAAAGTGATGGCAAGGTATGAAGCATGCCTAGCTTCTTATGGGCATACCTCCAATTAATTTTAAGACTATAAGAGAATGGCTGTTTATATGTATCAGAAATAGAATTTGGCTGTGTTTCAGTGGAAAACAAGTAATTTATGACACAAGAATCCAAGAAGGGACATGTGCTTTTTATGAGATTATTTAACCTGTCTGCGTTGTGCAGATTAAAACTACTCTGTAACCTCTAAACATTTTGAGTATTTATTTTATAAAATACTCGAGAGATTAATTAGAAAGAATCTTGAAATTTGAATACAGTCAAAAGATAACATGAGACAAAGTAGGGACTGTTTTTGTCTTATGGTAAAGCCCTGACCAACCTTTTACAGAACTTTGACCAAGAATTCTGTAAGAGGCAGAGCTTTAAAGTTTTGTCAGTTTCCCCAGCTGTCGCTAGGCACAGCTGAGGGAATCTGGTTGCTTCAAGCAGATCTCAAAACTTAGTCTATTGTAGCTCCTGTAGTCTGTCTATGGAAGCACCAGGAACTGATGAAAGAAGTTGGTCAATACCACGTAGGGCAGTTTCAGGTATGAATAGCTACATTCCAATGCACCCTTTGGGCCTCCGTACCACAATGTCACCTTAGAGGGACTTTGCAAATTATACAAAGAACCATGCTGCCAGAGGGGAAAAAAGATTGTGTGCAATTATACATATTGCTAGCAACTACTTTTATCAATGCTTAGACTGATACATATCTCTATGGCAAACATCGTTTTATAGTGTGTTTGTTTTTGTGTGTTTTTTTTTTTTTTTTCTTTTTAACTTTTTAAAACCGTGTCCATTGCAAAGAAGTGCAGAATGAAGTCTGAAATGCCGTTTGATTTATGATCCTCTGCATGTCAAGCTGGGAACTCTGAAAGGTCTTCAAGAAATAGTTTCCACAACTATCACAGAGTCCAACTTGAGATATGCAGATAATGCACAAATAATATCTATACATACATAGATATATCATAGTTATTCTATTTATTAAACATTTTACCTCTATTTCAGGAAGCTAAATCTGTCATCAATATTGATCCAAGCGGTGTTAATGTGAAGGGGTCCTGCAGTAATAGTTCAGCAACTTTATTACTAGTTTCTGCTACATCAAATCTCTCCCTTCACTTTGTACTGGTAAGTGTGTTTTGTTTTGGTTTTTAAATAGTTTAACTATCCATTCATAGTCTGTTTGCTTTGTAAAAATAAAATTCTGTTTTGGAATTTATTGGATTTTTTTTTTTATTTTTTATTTTTTTATTTCAAATGTGCCCTCAGCACAGTTTGCAGAGTAATTTTGTATTCTACAATAATTCCCCTTGTAAATCTTAATTTTGTTACAGAATTCCACCAAATATTACCTTGAAGGTGTAGCACTAAACACAATCCTGCCTGCGGATGCAAAAGGTAATATAATGTGACAAGATGTCTGCATGATACTTTTCTTTGTCACCTTTCTTTAAAATCTGTTAATTGCAAAGGGCCATCTTTCCACATTACTATAACCTCTTATTTATAATATAAAAAAGTCATTGCACATTTTGAGAGGGTGTGGGATAAGGAGGATCTGTTTACATAGCTTACCTTTAACTTCCCTTCCGTCCTTGTATAAACCTATAACTTTCTTTTCTTTTTTTATTTTTTTTTTCTTATGCCTCTCAGGTTTTCCTTTTTTTTTTTTTTTTTTTCGTATTAAAGTTCAAATTTTAGACCCCTTTCCAAACGCTTCTAAATGATTTAGTTTTGCTTTGTCATGTGAATTTCAGATTGTTGCTCTATTATTGATACCTTGTTTTTGATTAGAGTATGATTCTTGTTTTTGTTATACCAAAAAAATATATTGCTTTATGTGCAGATCATGTTTTAAATGCCAGTAATTCCAGCTTGACCTACTTTGAGACAGCCACTCGAAAGTCCTTCAAGTGCAAGTCTAAACAGGCTCTCGAAATAACAAATAATTTTACCCTAAACACCTACGACCTTCAGATTCAGCCGTTTGATGTGAATGGAGACAAATTTGGACCTGGTAAGTATGCACAGTTTTTCGACCTATATCTGTGATTTCCAGGCTCTTGTACCATGTGGGCTAACTTTATTATGGGGTTTGTTTGTCTGGTTATATATTGTGTGGGGTTTTGTTGTTATAGTTTATTTATTTTTTATTATTATTATTATATGGGCAGGAGTAGTGGTTATGGTACCAGGAGTGCACTTGGACTTCCTAGTAGAAGTAGCCTAACAATCAGGAGGCTGGTCTCTGACTACAACAGAGCCAAAAAATATCATGCTAGTTCACAGGGGAGCGTTTCTGGGTCTCCTGTAGGAGGTGACTGGCATCTGTAAGACCCGAGTGTGCTAATGGTTTAATGGTTTGACTACTTACCCTAGGAGTTCACAAGGGCACTCCTGGCACCAAAACCACTGCAGCATGCTGTAGTGGATATGTTGCTTGCCACCATTCTCAGATATTTACTTATAATTACTGCCTCTGCACAGGGCTTGTCACAATATGCAATTATGTTGTCAATGTACAGTGCAGTGCAACCCATACTGTAATTTGAGAATGGGATCAGAAATCCCTGGCTAATCTGTGTCCCCTATCTCTCCCTCACACCTTATCTGTTGATCACACTAGACTAGACAAAAGGCCCTTTTCAGTTGCATTATGCAGGCCAACTACGGCAGCAATGCACAAAGGATAAGGAATGTGTTAAAATGGATGACATGTTCGTAGCCCTGTAATTAAAATAATAGGATGATCTCTGATAAAGAAACATGCCTTCTCTGCCAAATCTGCAGGGTACATAGAATGTCAAACGTAGAATGCTAATCTGTAGAGGTGTCTTTATATCATGCGCTTACATTTTAATTTTTTTTACTGTGATCTAGGCCCGAATAAAACCAAAATGTGCGTTAAAGGACCACTATAGTGCCAGGAAAACATACTCGTTTTCCTGGCACTAGTGCCCTGAGGGTGCCCCCACCCTCAGGGACCCCCTCCCGCCCGGCTCTGGAAAAGGGAAAGGGGTTAAAACTTACCTTTTTCCAGCGCTGGGCGGAGAGCTCTCCTCCTTCTCTCCTCCTCCGTTCCGCCCCGTCGGCTGAATGCGCGCGCATTCAGCCGGTCGCATAGGAAAGCATTTACAATGCTTCCCTATGGGCGCTGGCGTGCTCTCACTGTGAAAATCAGTGAGAAGCATGCAAGCGCCTCTAGTGGCTGTCAATGAGACAGCCACTAGAGGATTAGGGGGAAGGCTTAACCCATTAATAAACATAGCAGTTTCTCTGAAACTGCTATGTTTATTAAAAAATGGGTTAACCCTAGCTGGACCTGGCACCCAGACCACTTCATTAAGCTGAAGTGGTCTGGGTGCCTAGAGTGGTCCTTTAAGTGGAACTCATGATTCGTGACAAGAAATTGAGTGTTGTCTAGATATTGTTTCTTATTTACTGACTGATAAAAATTTGTTAGCAAGTAAACATCAATGCGGAAAGGTATATTATCCTTCTTTGAGCTGCAATTAGAAAATCTTGCACTAAGTGGGTGCATGTTTTTCTGTGTTCATAGTATTTGAGACTAAGCAAAAAGCTTAGTACTAAAGCTCAGTGTGTACAGAGAATGACCCCTTGCTTACATAACCTGTACCTGTTTTGGCATTAGTATTACATCTCAATAGTTATTTTAAAGGGGCACTGTCACCATCTGGGAACTTTGTACAATTTGCAAAGAACCCTGACTCTGACATTGCCACTGGGGTTCCGGTGCTGGGTGGGGGCAGGTAAAGATTTACGTACCAGAACCTGTCCCTCACAGGTTCTGCCATCTTCCTCCATCTCCTCTTCAGCTCCTGGAGCTTCAATGCTAAGAGCAGACGTCATTGCTGTACTCTCACGCATGCATTGAGGTCTGCTGGATCCTCCATAGACAGAGCCAATTCCCTGCACCGATCACTAGTGACAGCTGTTGGTATTGACCCTGAGGCTCCACCCAGAGTTCTAGAAAATTAAGTGGAAGAAATATAGTCCCTAATTTGTCTCTTGATCTCTTGACTGGGTTGGAATTTCTGTGAAATGCTAACACAGTCAAAATGAGTATTTCATATAGATAGAATCTTTATGAAATACAATTAATTTTTTTTTTTTTAGGGGTGAGTGACTGCTGTTTTAATAACTTCTTTAGGTATGTAGTTGGAGGAGAATGGCCTTCCTTTTATGTAGGTTTTGATTTTCTTTTATATATTCCGGGTTCAGAGATAGATAGATAGATATATATATAGAGATATAGATATAGATATAGATATATATATATATATATATATATATATATATATATATATATATATATATATATATATATATATATATATATATAGATATATATATATATATATATATATATATATATATTCTCACACACACACACTATCTCCATCCTGGCCTACCTGAAGGTAAATTCTTGGCATCTGTGCATGAAGGGAGACCTTTTTGTGTTTAGTCACCCATGTATTATCCCTCACATGCCAGTAAAGAGATTTTGGATTATCAGCATGTTCTACTATTTTATGCTTTCTCATGGGAATCTAGTGCATGGCAAATTCCACTACAAGGGAATTCAGGTATTAAACATATCAATTTTTTTTTTTGTTTTTTTTCCTGTTCTATGTGCATCAAGCTGAAATTTTTTTTTAAAATCTTGGATATATGAGAAGAGTTTTGATACTGGAAGCTAAAATGTGTTCTTTCTCTCCCTCCTAGCTGTGGAATGTGTACAAGATGAGAATGGCATGCTGGTACCCATTGTAGTTGGTGCTGCCCTAGCTGGACTTGTTTTGATTGTATTAATTGCCTATCTCATTGGACGAAAGAGGAGCCATGCTGGATATCAGACAATATAATTTAACACCTCCAACATGTGTCATGTTACTAGTCTAGCTCAACAGATTGCATTGAAACAGTCATTTATGATTAGAAATAATTGTGTGTTCACAGAATGAAATGCTCTGATATTTTAAGAGAACTCCTGTTTTATTGCATTTGTTGACTATGCAGACGAAATTATCATGCTCAATTTGTGTTTAAAAATGAAAAAAAATCATCAGAATAAGAAATCAAATGGAGCTTCACCTCAATTGGTTAGATGACCGAGATGTTATGCTGCTTTCTTCTAAGAGAGGGCAGTATAAAACTTTCCCAGAGGTTCTCATTCATTAACAATGTATAGTTATTCACACTTTCATACTTAAAGGGAATTTGTTCTGTATTACAGTAAATAAGTTTTGCAGATCACTCTGCATTTTAGATTTAGAAAGCAAATTACTGACATCAAACTAAATGCAACCACTTGCAGGGTATTTTTGTTCTATCTTTTTGACGCTTACATTCTCATTTAGCTATAAATAAGCAAATGCCACACTTGTGCAGGGCATTAACACTGTAATATTAAAATGATTTTGAATTCTTGTTTGCTGTTCTTGATGCTCTGCTTTTTCAGAGCCATTAATTTTGTAAAAAATATTAAAAAATGGGTGTCATTTCTTAGGGTTTTCCCCAAATGTTGCATTTTCTTTCCTTTTTGAAGTTTCAGGTTTGGATGATATATCTTTGCGCACATGTACAGTATAGATATGCTGATTGCCTAGCTTTATGCCTGGTTGGGGTTATAAAGTTCAAGAAATGTTTGCATTGCCTTAACAATGCTAATAAAAACCCTGTTTTCTTTATATTGGTCATTTGCTTATTTTGACACACATCACACCATCCTGCCACTCGCCTGCTGACTTTTTTTTTTTTTCCCTTTCTTTCTACACTTGCCAGTACTTAACTCAGTCTAGGAAATAAACCCTTATCTAAATTAGTCTGCCAAATATTGTGTTGAACCAGTACAAGTATTTTCTGACCCAATACGTTGTCCTCACGTGTTGCTTATGCAGGTGAAGTGTAACATGACTGTTTGCTTTACTAAGTCTTCTCCAGTAATCGGTGTACGGTTACTGTATGACCTGATTAAGGTGGCAGATAAACTCTCATCAGCTTATATAATGCCAGGGCACATTAATTGAATCTTTAGGTATAGTGGTCTGTCATGTGTAGTAGCTACTGAGATCTTGTCTTTATAAATCTGTTGCTATTGGCCATCTTGAGAATGGCAGTTGTGTGTTTACCATTTTTTCCATTTCCCTCTTCTGTTATTATTTTAGAGATGGAAGATTGATTGTAGGTGCTGATGGGCAATGCAATGCTCTAATAATTGTAACTCTGTAATTAACTATGCAAATTGTAAGCATATAGTGCATAAAGTAGACTGGCATACTGGTCATACTAATCCCTAAAATGAAAATGCTTATGTAAATAAAGTAATTTCATTATTTCAAAAAAGTATTATATTGTCGGATTGACTTTTCAAACTCTGTATTTGTGAGGTGTGAATGTGACTTCTAGGAGCACTTTTACACTAGTGCAGTTGCATCTCCACATTAGCTGAAAGAACACACTTTGGAAATAAATATTTTATTGCTAGTCTATGGGTTTTAGTTGTAAAGTAGTGTTAAATTTCTCAGTCATCAAAACATTTGAAAAGTACAGTACAAAAGTATTCGAAGCATCTCAGGACAGGTAGGTTGGTCTCCAAAAGTCAGTGGCTTCTTTAACCCTTTACCCATAGAAATCCATTGTTTCTTAATCAGTCATTTGTAGGGTTAATCAGTGCAATTATCAAAGGAATGTATCTTTCATAAATGAGTGTTCATAAGCTTCTTGCTATTATTCCTGAGTAAGTAATTTTGACTTGTGTTTTTCTCTAAGTTTGGTAATTGTAACGTTTGATAAACTTCCAGGCTCAGTGAAGATTTTCTGTTTATAAAAAAAAAAAAAAAAAAAAAGCGCTTTAGGGTTAGGTTTAAAACTGAACATACATTAGGAGATTCTCAACGTTTGGTGTAATCATTCCAAAAGCTACATTTAGAGTTAGAATAAGAATTAGTTAGGCTAAATATGTCCCTAAGCCAAAATATCCTAATACCCTGTACTGCAGCGTGTCCCCTAGACTCCATGGAACTTTACCTTACAGGATCTGAAGCAGAAGCCACCCTCCTGCATTAAAATTTTTTTAAAAAAATTACTGAAGGGTGGCTAAAATTTTTACATGTGTTGTGTGTATCTGTATGCAGTGTTTGTATCTGTAAGTCTGTGTCATTGTTTCTATATGTATGTAGTGTTTGTATCTGCATGTGTCAGTGTTTGACACATGCAGATATAGACACACATGCAGACACAGAAGCAAACCCTGAGACATCTAGATCCAGATTAACACAGAAACACACTGCCACGTGCAGATACAGTTTCAAACAGTGCTTGTATACTAATGTCTGGGGCAGGCAAGCAGAAGGATTGTGTGACTGTATTCCAAATTAAGTTTTATCTAAATTAGTACTAGTAATAATCCAATTTAACTGCGCTCTCTCTTCTGGCATTGTCCCTGCTGACCTTAAACATATTTGATGCTACTGTAGTACCTATCCTGAAAAAAAAAAAAAAAAAAATCCCTCCACACATCCACCCCTTCTATCATCCCATATACCTGCTCCCTTTTTCCTCAAAGCTTCTAGAAAGACTTGTCTTGACCCGTATGTCTCACTTCCTCAACTCCAACTCTCTGACTCTCTTCAATGTGGCTTCTGCCCCCTCCACTCTGAGACTGCTCTTGTCAAAGTTACTAATGACCTAATCGCAACTAAATCCAAAGGCCACACCACTCCATACTATTACTTCTTGTCCTCTGTCTGCTGCTTTTGACACAGTTGATCATGCTCTCCTTCTTCAAACTCTGCAATCACTCTGTCTCTGTGACAATGTCCTTTTAGTTTTCCTCCTATCTCTCCCAATGCTCATTCAGGGTCTCCTTTTGTAATGATACCGCCACCATTCATCCTGTCTCTGTTGGAGTCCCCCAAGGCTCTCTAATTTTCTCTTTACACTGCCTCTCTCTTGGCAAACCTATTGCCTCATTTGGATTCAACTACCACCTGTACGCTGATGACACTCATCTCTCCTTTCCATACCTCTCTCCTGCTGTCCTGCAACGTGTCACTGCTTGCCTTTCCGCCATCTCTGACTGGATGTCCTCCTGCTTTCTAAAACTGAACTCCTTGCCTTTCCTCCTAATACTGATCCTCTCCCTTCAAGTCAGTGGTATCCACATCAGTCCATCCTTGCAAGTGTCCATATTTGATTCTAGCCTCGCCTTTGAGCCTCACATCCAGCCTATTACCAAATCCTGTAGATTCCATCTTAAAAACATAGCCCGCATCCGCCCCTTTCTTACGCAAGATGGTACCAAAGAGCTTGTCCATGCTCTAGTAATCTCCAGCATGAATTATTGTAACCCTCTAACTGGTCTTCCCAAAAGCCGCATTGCACCGCTACAGTCTGTAATGAATTCTGCCGCCAGACTGATTTTCCTCTCTAGTCGGTTCTGTCACACCTCACCCCTCTGTCAGTTCTTACATTGGCTTCCTGTATCCTATAGGAGTCAATTCTAAAGGCTAACCCATACGTATAAAGCACTGACCAATTCTAGCCCCTCATCTCTTCACAGATCCATAGGTGCTGTATCACAGCACATTAATAGAAAGTTATATGGAAAAGAAAAGTGTGGAAGAAAAAGGTGCACAAGCAGCAAGGATGACTGCAGCCTGGAGTCAAAAGTATTGGGGACTTTCACAAGGAGTGGACTGAGGCTGGAGTCAGTGCAGCAAGAGCCATCACACACAGACGGATCCTGGACATGGGCTTCAGATGTCTTATTTCTCTTGTCAAGCCACTGTTGAACAACAAACCATGTCAGAAGCGTCTTACAGTGGTCCAAAGTCCTCTTCTGATGAGAGCAACTTTTGCATCTCATTTGGAAACCAAGGACCCAGAGTCTGGAGGAAGAATGGAGGGACACTGCAAGATGCTTGAAGTCCAGTGTGAAGTTTCCACAGTCTGTGTTGATTTGGGGAATCATGTCATCTGCTGGTGTAGGTCCACTGTGCTTCATTAAGTCCAGGGTCAACACAGCAGTCTACCAGGAGATTTTGGAGCACTTCATGATTTCTTCCGCAGACGAGCTTTATGGGGATGCTGACTTCATTTTCCAGCAAGACTTGGTACCTGCCCACACTGCCAAAAGCACCAAAGCCTGGTTCAATGACCGTGGGATTACTGTGCTTGATTGGCCAGCAATCTCGCCTGACCTGAACCCCATAGATAATCTATGGGGCATTGCCAAGAGAAAGATGAGAGATATGAGACCGAACAATGCAGAAAAGCTGAAGGCCGCTATTGAAGCATCCTGGTCTTCCATAACACCTCAGCAGTGCCACAGGCTGATAGCTTCCATGCCACACTGCATTGAGGCAGTAATTGCTGCAAAAGGGGCCTAAACCAAGTACTGAGTCCATATGCATGCTTATACTTTTCAGAGGTCCGATTATTGTTCTATGTCCACTCCTTGTTTTATTGATTGCATGTAATATTCTAATTTACTGAAATTGTGGATTTGGGGTTTTCATGAGCTGTAAGCCATAATCATTGCACTTATGACAAATCACAGCTTGAACTATCTTGCTGTGCATGTAATGCATCTATCTCATATATTAGTTTCCCCTTTTACGTTGCATTACTGAAATAAATGAAGTTTTGCACGATATTCTAAATTTTTCATGTATCACCTATACCTGTCTCTTGCTCTCTCTTAAAGGGCAGAACTTTACTCTTCTCCAGCTCTGCTTCACTCCCACCTATTTTGATTGCTATTCCCTGTTATTGTGTTTTACACCCCACCTACTATAGACGGTTGGCTCGTTTGAGCAGGGTCTTCTTCAACCTATCATCGTTCCTGTAAGTTTTCTTGTAATTATCCTATTTATAGCTAAATCCCCCCTTATAATATTGTAAAGCACTATGAAATCTGTTGGCGCTATATAAATGGTGATAATAATGTCAATTTGAACATTATGTTGAGTTAATTGGACTAATTATTGTAGATATTTTACTTAGTATATAATTTTAAAAACAGCCAGAGAAACTTAATTCAATTTTGATCAGTGGACCAACTCTGTGTCAGTTATTTTTCTTTCTTGACAATCAGCAGTGAACGGTTGGTGTTTAGTTTTTAGTTTTATTCAGTACAGCAGTTGGGGAGTTTCTTTCTTTTGGTCTTATTAGTTTTGCTTTGCTCATAATAAGGGGAGTTACTAGCAATAGTTTCAATTTAAATAGTAATATTCTCCAAAACTAATTTACATTTTAAATACTTTTGCCAGCCTTTGTCTCTGCTTGGAGTATGTACAGGGTACACTTGCTGGCAGACTGAGATGAGCAGTTTAGCACAGTTGCAGAGAAAAATCTTCTGTCTTAGTCTCTTCTAGCAAACCTAGTTCGAAATTGCAGCTTCAAAATGATCGTTAAACTCAACCACCACATTAAAAAAGACACCAACAAGCCTACTCAGGAACAATTTGTGAGGTTTCACCCCAGGGCCATGTCCAAAAAGCAGGCCAATAAAATCATGCTACTTGGCCAGCCTATTACTGTCGGTGATGCTCCTGTTTCAAGAATAGAAGAGGAGCCTTTCAAGCAGCTGCTGGAGACCATGGTTCCTAAATACCACCTTCCCCCACACTCCATATTTAGCAGGAACATAGTTCACTCTCTCCCATTCATTCATTCATGCTTTGCAGTTGTGAAAGAGGAGCTTGCTAAGGCTGCTGGTCAGAGCACTTCACTACAGATTTGTGAAATGAGCCTAGTGGCCAGTATGCCTTGCTTTCCCTCACAGCACATGGTGGCAGTCCTGTGAGTATGAGGAAGCTGCTACTTGAAGTTAAACAGCAGCAGGGATTTCAGGTGCTACCAGGAAGGATAGAAGTAAGCAAAATGTGCCAGTAGGTGTGTGTGTGTGTGTGTTAAACAGTGTGTGAGACAATAACTGTCTGTCAGTGTGTATCAGTGAGGGTATCCACACTGTCTCCCCCACACTGTCACCTTCTTACACACTGCACCCCCATATTGCCACCTTCCTAAACACTGCCCCCTATACGGTCACCCACTAACACACTGTCTCTCCCCTTCCAGCCCACAGGTAAGGGGCAGAGACTGGGGTTAAACCCCATTTAATTTAAATGTCTCACCCCGCAGCACTTAGCCAACACTACATCCACAACACAAACACTGCATACAATACAAATTACATCCATGACATGGAAGAAGGGGGAAGAAAAGACATGAAAGGGAGGGGAACAGAGACATGGATGGAAGAGGGGGCAAAAAAGATATGGATTCTTCAATCCATGGGGTAGATGCGAGCGAGCTGAGTGGACAGTGTGGCTACATCTAAGGTGTGACACATTACCTACCTGGCTAAGACTGAAGTTTGCAGAGGGATTAAGGGAGCGTGTGTGTGTGTGCGTGCACACACACACACCCCACCACTTGTCACTGGACCACCCTGTGCCCTCCCTAAAAATGAATCCTAAAGACGCCACTGTTCAGGGTTCCCGGATCTAGCTAGGCGGCGATACCCAGCCAGAGAACAGGGAGCTCAGTCACGATAAATAACGCTACAGTGGTGGGTAGCTTTATTTATTGTGACAGAGCAAATGTATACCGGCCAATTAGGTCAATGTTAAGTGAATGGTTTCTCCTCCCCCCCTCCCTGGCTGCAATGCCGATATGGCAATCCCTACTGCTGGCACAGCTGGTAATTCTCTAGAGGCACTGCATATGCACCCTGGATGTTTGCTGCCAGCAAAGAGCTGAAGGCGAGCAAAGGCTTTATTCTGGAACTGAAACAGGTAATCAATTGCCCACTCACTCTCCCCTTCATTTTCCATTTAATTTGACTTGGGG